TTTTTTTTTTTAACCTGAACATATCATCATGGTTTGTTATTTTATAATTCAATGCCTGACAGGGGAGGGGTTGGGGGGGATCAGGGGGCTAAGCAGAGAAATTTACTGATTGACTAGTTTGTCTCACTTCCAGAATTGGGAAACTTAAGTCTTCTGCTCACTACAGCTACTCACTACATAATACCCTCTACAGATCCTGATCATAAATACATAAATGAAATAACTTGTACAATAGTATGTAATGTATGAATTCATACACACAGGACACAATGCATCTACTAGGTATAACCTGGACCCCTCATGTACCAAGGTTATCAGTGGGTATAATGGGATTGTGAATACAACAAGTACAGTCTCTGGTGACTAAATTCTAATAGTTATGGCTCACTGTCCTCAGATGAAGATTCTTCATCTGAGTCCGACTTGATCAGCTGCTTATGTTCTCCTAAGAAAGTTCCTTCAGCCTCTGAAAAGTTTAGTGTATGTAAGAAATAGACGGCTGTGAACATGTTATCGAGCTTTGGGATCTTCTCACCTTCCATCCTATCATTGATACCTTCCTGAAGAAGCTCTGTAACCGGGCTCAGTTGTTCAATTGGTAATGGTCTCTTTTTGGATCTGTAATTAAGGTACCCTGTGTCTAACGTTAACATTTTGCCATCTGGTAGCCTGAATTTAAGCTCTAACCTGTCCCAGGATGGATAACTTGCTCCATCCCCATGCATGCCACCCCATAGACTAATGATTTTGTTCCCCTTACACCTGAATGAAACTGTGCTCTCTACAAACTTGTCAGAAATTGAACCAGGGCTGTAATTGCTTTCGTCTAATGATGTACGCAGAATTAAGTCCAGCAAAAGTTGCTTGGGCAGTTTTTTCAGTTCGTAGTCGTACGCAATGTGATAGAAGCTGGCAGCATCTTCTTGCAGCCCCTGAAGGAGCTTCAATTGCAATCTCTGACACAAGAGATGAATGGTTTCTACAATCATCTTGGAATACTTTGATTGTTGTTCATCCTCATTCTTCCATCCAGACACCAGGTTTTGGAATTTAGTTTCAGCTTGAAGATTCTGATGGAACCGATCTATAGCTATCTGGACAGAACCAGGAGTTGGTTTCGCATTTCTTCCAGCATCTTTGAAACTAAGTTGGTGTTCTTTGAGCAATTTGCCTTCATCTGGAAAAAAGAGACAGAGCCAGACAAAGAAGAGATCTGTTATTGGAGGGGTGGTGTCACCAAGCTCTTTCTGCAGAAGCTGTATCACTGGTTTCATTGGTTTTGCAGCAGCAGGAACGGCTTCCTCCTCCCAGTACAAGAGATCTTCAGGACAATACCGGGTAAAGCCTACAGAGAACAAGATCATTATATTCATCTTGAGACAAATAAAAATTCTTGTTATTGGTTGGCACGAGTTTTTAAACCTGAATCATAGAGTGTAGTAATGCAAGCCCAAAGTATGCAGGATTACTGTATGTTCGACACTACAATTTAACAACTTACAGTAGATATGCTAACACACAGGAGCCCAAGGTGTCCAATCGATGAAATTGATAATCAATGAAAATTGATACCATTAAAACGATACTATATCAATCAATCCATTGATATTGATAACTGATGACCAATCGATGAAGAGGATTTGTGTGACATTTTATTGATTGCCATCCATTATTAGTGGCAGTGGACAGCTTAATTGGTAGTGATTGGTTACAAATTTTGTCACGATTTAATATATACAAGTTGTTGGGAATACCATGTTGCATGCACTCGTACCACTGTGCGTAACTGTTCTTCCTGAGTATTTTTGTATAAATGTTGGCGGAATTACAATTATACGGTGGCCCACAACCGTCACGGCAAAACAAAAAGTCACGACACTGCAAACTTAACTCACGGCAAGATAATGTTATCTGACTGCAAAACAAAATTAACTCATGGCAGTACACCATTAATTGATGGCAAAACGAAATTAACTCATGGCAGAATACTCCTAATTCACGGCAAAACAAAGTCAACTCACGGCAAAACAAAGAAAATGAGTTGGTCAGCGGTTGATCAGCGGTTGTTATTTGCTTTTCAAATGGTATGTCGTGTAACAGTAACACACTGCTCGCTCGGAAACTGCCATTTTTAGTGCAGTGTTCCTTATCTTGAACTCATGATGTTTTGCAGCTCTTGTGGTTCGTTAGTCGATCAAAATGCCAACTTTTGCAAAGACTGTGGTAAAAGTACGTTTCTTAATCTAAAGAATTTGTATTTGCATCTCTTTTAGTTCCAAATAACGATAGGCACGTGAGATGACATTGCTGTGTTAGACGGTCAAAATCACAGGAATATATTTCCTGGATTACTGGCTGAGCTTTTCACATGCCTATCGTTATTCGGAACTAAATGAGATGCAAATACGAATTCTTTAGATTAAGAAACGTACCTTTACCACAGTCTTTGCAAAAGTTGGCATTTTGATCGACTAACGAACCACAAGAGCTGCAAAACATCATGAGCTCGAGATAAGGAACACTGCACTAAAAATGGCGGTTTCCGAGCGAGCAGTGTGTTACTGTTACACGACATACCATTGGAAAAGCAAATAACAACCGATGACCAACCACTGACCAACCTGTTTTCTTTGTTTTGCTGTGAGTTAACTTTGTTTTGCCGTGAATTAGGGGTGTTCTGCCGTGAGTTAATTTCGTTTTGCCGTGAATTAATGGTGTTCTGCCGTGAGTTAATTTCGTTTTGCCGTGAATTAATGGTGTACTGCCGTGAGTTAATTTTGTTTTGCCGTCAGATAACATTATCTTGCCGTGAGTTAAGTTTGTAGTGCCGTGACTTTTTGTTTTGCTGTGACAGTTGTGGGCCACCGTACAATTTATAGTGTTCTCCCTCTTTCTGGTATACAGTGAATCTCTCACCAACTTTTCCTTTGAATGGGCAAAGGTGGTATCCCTTGACAATCGCTTGTTTTGACAGTCTTAATTTGGTCAACATAACAAGAACACTGAGGAAGAACAGTTATGAACAGTGGTACAAGTGCATGCAACATGGCATACATGTATGCTATAATAAACTACCGCAAATCTTCGAATTAGCGCCTGGGGTGCTTATTTCAAATTTAGGATAAGATGGGGGACACTTAATTGAGGGGGGCACTTATTCAAGGGGGGGGGGGTTATTTAATTTTTCCCAAATCGTAGCCTGATGTGATCATTTTTTTAAATATATTATCTCCATGTAAACACCAACATAAGCTGTTTATTGACATAAAAAGCTGATCCTAAAGTTTAAATTGTGGTGCTGTTAGTACTTAACGTGTTCAACATGTTCACTGAATGTGTTCACAAACTGAAACAATGTACAAATCTAATACTATATGATGAAAACTATACACCCTTTGTTGTCTTATTACTCGTCCACAAAATGGGGGGGAGGGGAGGGAGGTGCTTATTTGAAATTTTGGCTGATAGGAGGGGCACTAATTCCAAGGGGAAGCTTATTCCAGGGGGGGGGGGGTGCTAATTCGAGGATTTACAGTAATTTTATTGATTGATATCGATTTATCAATAACATATTTCTTTTCCAATCATAGATTTTCATCGATTGGACACCCCAGGGTAAGCGTCTTGGAGAAAAAAAACAAAACCAAACTCACAGGGGAAAGGGGCAACGGTCTGTAGAATAGTCAGATTCATTTGACACATGTATAAGGTCAGCTACCCTGTTGATCCTCTGTATAGAGCCTTGAATCAGAGAATTTACATCAGGCTACAAGTTCTAGGCCAGTCAGATGGATCAGGTCAAAATAAAACACATATGGTTAATAATATTTTCGGTGAAGAAAAGCGACAGCCGGAAATACATGTACATAAGCTTACATCTGCATTCGCAGGCTAATATCAGTTGTAATATTTAGCTTACCTTCTGATCTAACATCTAAATCGCCACAGGTTATATGGATACTCAGCTCATCGTCGTAGTTGCCAATATAATCATGAAAGTACTTGGTGTTGATCACCATGTTCTTGTCGCAGCTTGGCAAATGAAGCGTCACACTCCGATACCGCGTGATACACGTTGCCCGAGGTTCTCCCTTTTCCTCACTGGTTTTCCGATTTGCAATCCACGTGAACAGTTTCGCGACAACAGGGCCGTTTTGCTGCCACACATCGATCACTTTAGCATAGCTCAGTATTCCTTTCGCTGCTATAAGGCGTGCAGAGCCGTGAAGAAGATCTCGTAATTTGCAGTACTTGTCGTAGACATCGCGTCTTCGAGCTCTTCCACCACTTGTATTTGTAATGTCAACCAAGTAACTCTTGATGTAGTACTCTGCCTTCAGTAGCAACAGCTTTGAATGTATGACATTCCTCGTGCTTTTGGTCACTTGTAAGAGTCTCTTGCAGGTCAGAGAGATATTGTAAAAGGAGTCAGGATCATCCAAAAACGACACAATTCTATGGAGGCAGTCATCGTTGAGAGATAACAGGGACGCCATTTTGGTGTAAATGAGCCCCACCCCTTTCCCACCACCCGCGACGATGGATAGGCCCGTTTTGCGTACAAACAGCTTTCAAAACCCCAAATCCAAATTTTGCGAATTCCTGGCGTTTTGAGCTTGTTCCCAACTTTATCACATCTTCTGAAAAATTTGGTCACCTGATTAACCCATTGACTCCCGGAGCTTTTTGCCAAAAACGCATTTTTTGGACATTTTCAGTCTGGATTTGAGCCAAATTGCCTCCAATCTACTCAAAAAGGCATTTGCAACATGACAGCATGCCTTTCTTCCCACTAGCAACGCGTGTTAAGACATTTTTGCTTGGGCATCCACAAAAATCAAAATTTGGAGATTTTTTGGAGTTGTGAACAATGTCTTAGGCTTTTTGTTCTTTTTAATTTTTTTGTTTGTTTGTTTGTTTTTTTTACCTTTCCTTTTTCTCCTTTTCTTATCTTTGTGCTGCAGTGCAGTGATTGACTATCTACTGGGCTTTCTTCCAGTTCAATAATTTCTGAGAAAGCATCATTGAGGCAGGCAATTCTTTTCCACAAAGTAGCTAAGTGTAGTCGTAGGAAATTTTGCTCCGAGTTTTTCACTCAAATTTCTGAGCATTTCCATGCATATTTCAGGCTCCACTGAGCAGATCACTCTATCAGGATATCATTGGAAAGATATTTCCTCCCGCTTATTTTAGTCAAAGGTGATGACGTTAGAGGTGGAACAAAGAAAAATAATTCACACCTTAAGTTGAAACTACCCTCTTTCAGTTCTAACAGCAAAAGTGGAAATATAGCTGTTAGTGTGAAAAAAGCTTAAGGGAGTCATCCCTTTGCTCAGGAAATTAAATAAATAATAAAATAAATTTTAGTTGTACTGGAAATGCACACAGCTATAAAAACTATAAAATTGTCTTTATTACATTTTTCACCTTTCAATTTATTTTTTCCTATGACAAGCATTTTACAAACAAGTACCAACAAACATTACAATATTTGAAATTGGCCTTATAGAAATTTATAACAATGTTATTATTGTCTACTATATTGTTACCAGTCCTCAAAACTATTTTACATCATTTACATAATGTACATTTGGTTGTTCAATTTACCGTTAATTTAATACAAACTATTTTCCCTTCAATATTGATAGTAGAAATGTCAAGTTTAACATTTTGAGCATAAATTTAAAGCTACATAGTCCATCTGCCAATCAACAAGGATTACAATGTGGTAAATGGGAGTCTGGAACAATGTTTGAACAAATTTTCTTTTCTTTTTTCAGCCAACTTACAACCTGGCTTTTGTAATGTGGTCTATTTGGTTCAGTTTTCCATTCACTGTACATTTTAGTTTTGTTATGGACCTGGACACTGCTTTTCTGATAAACGCATAGAAAACTCAAAACATGACTACAAAGTACATGTGAAGTATTTATGAGTTAAATGAGTGTTATTGAGGCTGACCAATCTGACCAGTGACTCACTGTCTTATAAAGTCATTCGACACACAAGTCACGGGATTTACACAGTAATGCCGAAATGTGCTCTAATTGGGTGTCAAACATGGCATGCATGACTGATCATCAAACATTTGAAGTTTAGCAGACCATAATGTGACCTTAAAATGTTCACCATCAACAAATACGGCCACAACCAATATTTCAAGGTTAGCTTGAAATAAAACCACTTTCGTTAAAGGCATATTCATGTTGACACAGGTCAGGGTCAATTTCGCTGAAGGAGTCTTCAATGTCCAATTTTTCTGCCATTTCGTGTGTTGAACTTTTAGTGCACAAGTTCTTGCCAGTCTGCTAAACTTCAAACGTTTGATGACCAATTATGCTACGTTTGACACCCAATTAGAACATGTTTAAGCATCACATGTCGACGCTTAGATGCAAGCGACAGTACGTGTTCATGCTTAGATGCAAGCAATGGTATACCGTATATCCCTAGGGTAGTGAAGTGGATCCATAGTGAATGAGGACCTTTCATTACTCAAAAAGAGGCAGAATTTGAAATGTTAGCCTTTAAGGCTTCATATTCTAGAACCAAAAAGGGGGAGAGGGAGCAGGTGTCTACCAATGATTCTAAGTGTGGTTTTCCATTGGCTGAGGAAACCATTTTCTCACACATGGGTTAAGCTGAGGTGAAATTATTCCCTAGCCACTTTTTTGTGTAAGACTATTATGTTCTTATGTTAATAAAGGTCAGTCTGTGTGGTTCGGCTAGGCATGGCTCCCAGCCATGTGTGAGAAATTACAAATTGTAGTCTACATTAACACATTTTGTTTACAGCGACAGAAGAGCAGTGTGACACATAGGGCACTTGTTCTGTACATTGAGCCATTTGCGAAGACACAAGCTGTGAAAATAATGTTTGCATGGTGTCACTTTTGCAGCTTTCAACTCCTCCAAGCAGATGGAGCAAACATCTGCTAGTTCGTCAATTTCCTTTTCAGTTGCTGATGGCAGCGAATTCAATTTTTGGTTCACTTGGTGGCGCTGTTTAAGACTAAGCCAACCTTCCTTAGCTGGCGTCCAGATGTTGAAGTAAAGGTGAAGTAATGCCATGACGATTTGAAAAAGTGTCCATTCTAAGCTGAAGTCAACGACTCTGTAGAAAAGCACAGCTGAGATGACGGCAAACTCGAACACTTTGCAAGAACCATTAATAAAGTACACATAGTCATCCAGTGCCTCCCAAATTTGAGTTTGTTGCGATTCGTAAAGATGCAAGAAGTACAAAACTAAAGCAGCGACTATTTGAGCTATGGTGATGACGTTAGGGGTGATGAATGGGATCTTCTCTTTAAGGAAGTACAAGTTAAGGGCCAAATAAATGGATGCCCCCAGGAGAAAAATGCAGAAAGACAAAACCCTGAAGTGTTTGCGGTACACAATGCTTGGCTGTGATGCAAGGCCCAACAGAACTGGCTCGGCTATTTCAAACATTGATCTCACCAGCGCGGAAATAATTAAATAAAATATCAGTTCCAGAAGAACCAGTTTTCTACTAATCTTTGAGCTTGAGAGTCCAGTGTACAGACCAAGAAAAAAGAATCCAAAACCTTCTCTCAGACCATCAGGAGAGCTGTAAGGATCGCCAGGCGGAGCAATGTTGTCCTCATGATGATAGCGCTTGACTATGTTCAAAACATAACCTGCAAGCCTGTAAATCACAAAGCAACAAGATGTCATTGATAGGACAGAGTTGCATGTTAAGGCCATAGTCAAGTTAAACAACTGCAAGGCTGTTAATGTTTCACTAGAGAACAGTAGAAAAGTCAAACTGTGGTAGAGAAATAACACAAGGCATAATGTCATCATACACAGAGGAACTTTGACCCTTCGCCAGTGGAACACGACAGTGACAGTCAATCCATACATTCTGTACATCCACTGCATGATATGTGCTGACGTAATGAAATGGCAGACGATGTCATGAATACATTGGTAAATGCTCATTAGCATCAAATAAAATGCATAACCAAAGCATATACACAGCCACAAAGGTGGATCTTCATTCTGGTTTGTAGACGACAGGTAACGCAACATACCAGGGAATGCCGTCAAAGAAAAAAGCACTGGCTTGATGGAGCTATACACTCTTGAGTACAGCACTAGTGATGTTAAATACACTATCCACACTCCACTGATCATTAATAGCAGCAATAGAGCACCATCTTCAGCGATGAGGTTTACTATTCCCTGTTCTTCTAAAGCATAGTAGAGGTTCAAGCTATTGTATGCATTCAAGAACAGCATAAATGTCACAACGGTGATGAACAGAGCTTGACTGTAAAAATTAACCAGTTCATCTCGGCCCAGCAAGGCAAGTCCCAAAAATATCACAATTCCTGAAATAAATTCAAAAAGTAACTTAATCAACATGTAATTTTTACTTCAAACATACAGTAATGTCGATATCTAGGCTACAGTTGCACAGTATATAGCCATATCTAGACCTAGACTTATACATCAGCAGAGTGCCAATCAATGGTTTTATCATGTGACTTGTTTATGCCAATCATGAATGAGAAGATATTTGATGGACTATAATGTCTGGCAACACTTTGATCCCAATATTGACACAACTATCTCATTTCATTTCCTTGATGATCAGGGTATGCAAGTCCACGTTTGAAATTGAAACATCAGTCATTGTGAGACTTAATTTTGTGTAAGGTTGTTCTCTCCTCCAAAAAAAACAAGACAAATCTTTAATACGTGAATGAACTGAAACATTGCTGGTTAAAAGTTCGGCAATATGCAAAAGCTTTACTCTAACAACGAGGCATACATTCAAGCTTACGTCAGTAGTAACATTACATAGCAAAACTGATCATCTGTTCCCATCTGTCGTTTAATAATTCGTTTAGTAACATTCCTAATATGACATGAAAACTCAAGAGAAAAATATAACAAGTCCGATATTTTGGTCCATGATAAGTCGAACAACAGAAGACAAGCCTGAGCAATCATCAAAACATGGCGTAAACTAACTTGAAACATCAAGTGTAACGAAGAGAAAACTTACCTAACAACTGCATAATTCTTCCATATGGGGACCAGTCGCTGTACTGTTTGACATCGAGACAGAGTAACCATTCCAAAAGAACAAGAAACGGTACACGAAACAGAAATTCGCTATGATGCGCCATGTTTCCCGGAAATCGCAATCACTGAAACATAGTTCTTCACAGTGCAAATGGTACAGCTAATCTGATTGGTTGACATGATGTTAAGCCAATGGATGACGTTTTTATATCAAGTCACATGCTCATAGTACAAAGATCATGATTGGTAATAGATTAACCAATGATGACAGAGGAAAGAAAATGCAGTATGGTAATTTACCCAGTTTGCATCGCTTTTGTGCTTCGCACACGTTGTAAGTATGGCGGCTGCTGTTGTTGAGTTACCGACGCAAGAAAACTTGAATGGCGAGGTATGAAATTTACGTTCTATCTAATTGTATTCCCAGCGATTTGAAGTATATCGCTTGTTGTTGGTTTCAGTGTTAGGTATTCACTTGTTGTGATCTTGTTTGGCTGTGCTTAAAAGCTCCAGCTTGATCTTTCATCATTCCTGTTTCGGTTTGTGTGCGTTTGTTTATAAGTTACTTTCTAAGGTTATACCTCTGAAGTTCCAATGTGGAATGTAGAAAAGTCTGCTGGATAAAGCTAAATATAATTTCATCGAGCGAATGCATAAGTTTTATTAAAAGTTAGTTTTGTTGAGAATGTCAGACACATATCTTACAGTGTATAACAAAACAGTTACTCTCGTTGATGTCCCGCCAAGGTAAAGCTAAGGTTAAGTTCTGTTTTCTGAACTTATACTTCATTAAAGTACATTGACATTAGAGCATTTAAAATTCAAAATAGTTACTCGCAGATGTTCCCCAAATTATATAATTTAATGCATATGGTTAAGTTCTACTTTCTAAACTTAAGCTTGATTAAAAAATAATTACATGGCGGCATTTAAAATTCAAAACAGTTTCTGTCGTTGATGTCTCCCCAAATTAACGCTAATGTTAACTTCTGCTTTCTGAACTTAATTAAAGTACATTGACATGACAGACAGAACTGTATAAATAAAATATGCACTGTATATTCAAAATCTACGTAATTATGGACACCTTGATATTTTGGACAGTGTATCATGATTCTAGCTCATAGATTTTATCTCTTACTATACCCAGTTATACCCAATTACATAATTAGCCAATCAGATGCCCATGTGTACTGTCTTGATTTTTACCGATATCAAGTTACCGACCTGGCCGACTTAGGTGCAGTAAATACTAAGTTGTATGTTTTTTGATACGTTTTGACAGCATACCAGACTTGGTTGGTCTTGCCATGGGTATTTCTCACCAAAAATTATACATGCAAGCACATGTACTATGGCTCTAACAACCTTCCTTAATGCATAGCTAAGTTGTACCAAAAAGGTAAAAATAGATACAATAATTAACCTGCCTACATGTATACCACCACATTGAAGTGTATGTTTATGTTATAATCTAAATGCATTTTGTTATCACTACATTTGACAGATTGATAAACCATCTGAAGACAAACTGAACAATGAAAGTGATGGCAGTCAGAGAAGAAGAAGGAAGCGAGGATTTGATGTGGGTCCTGGAGGAGGTGGGTTGGTCTTTGTAAATGATGAAAAAAATTTTTGTGTCCCCAGCAGAACATGCCTGTGTGCTTCCGGAAACATTTTTCCAAAATGTGCTTTTTTTAACTAACCTTATACACTGCGCTGTTCATTTTATTATTGAATTTTGCCATCTGGCATACCAGTGATACTTTGTTGGAAATAAAAGCTAACGTTAAATGTGTCATAACTAAAAGGAGACATGTTATCCTAGTTTTCAGGGTAGTAGAAGCTGATTGCTCATACCCAAGTATCACTTTTTTTAAAAAATTAAACAAGGCTTTCTCTAAAGCTGTAAAACAGACTTTTTTTTTCAGCTGATCTAGTGTTGTCGGTACATTTTTTGCCTGTAAATTGACTTTCGTGACTTTGTTGAATTTCATGAACACTTACATGTACCAATACAAAAAAAAAAAAAACAAACAAAATTTGGGCAACCTCATCATTTTTGGTAGAACTTTTGTGACTCTTTTTACAATGATATCAGTTTTAATTGTGTTTTTACACAGCTTTATCCAGCCCATGGCTTTCAACAACCATGTCAAAAACAAAAACAAAAACTAAAAAGTATATTTCCTGCTCACCACCCATCCTGTATGAGTAGCTGTGCTGTAATTCAGCTGTTTTATTCCAGTTGATTGTGTTGATACAGTGTAGATGTATGATAACATTTCTGTTTCCTTTCTTTCTTTTTTTCTCTTTCTCTGTTTTTGTCTTTTGCATCCAAATCAAGTTAGTCCCTGCAGCTATGGCTTGATGCCAGGATAACGAACATCATGACATTGACTCAATCTTTGGTGGTAAAACACATCTGTGCTGGTTTAAAGTAATTTGTACCTGTAGTGAAATATACCATATCCTTCTTTTGTTCCAACCAATGTTACTTTTGTCTGGGAGACTTTTTAACCATATGCATTCACTATCTTGAACTGCATAAAGGTAATTATTTGTTTCCTGAAATGTGCATTGCACAAAAGAACACACTTTAGATAAACTTTTTTGATAGACTGGTAAGCATAAATCATTACACTTTTGATTCAAAACTATCCATCGACTGGCATTTGTCAGCATAAGTTTTAATCTTACTCTTCTCAAGCAGGGGCGCAAACAATCAGCAGGCAGAGGTTCCGTTACTAAACACAAACATCTTGTTAGATCATCGGTTACTTTGAAGTGCAATTAAGACATGGTAATTATTCAATAGATTCCCCAACATCCGGTGCAACAAATGGTGATGCAGAAGACCAACCTATTGACGACGGTTCCAAAGGAGAGCTTGTAATTGGGCCAGGTGCAGGCGGCATGCAGCCACGCCCCTCTGAAGTGAAGAAAGCTTTGCCACCTCTCACCTATCAGCAGGAGGAAATGCTCAAGAAAGCTAAGAGATATGCCATGGAACAGTCTGTGCAACAGGTTGGCCATTTAAAAGTCTTATGAAAATGTGCACATGTGTTATACATGTAGGCAGATTACCTGTCTGAAATTATGAAGTAGATGGCGATTTTCTCTGGCAACCCTGAAGGTGCAACCTGTGTTACTATTACACTGGTTTGTGTAGAGTGGTTTTAAATTGAGTGTCATAAAATGAAAACCAAACCAAATTATTACATACATGCAGTGTTTCAGCCAGAAATTTTTACTTGAGGGCCAAAGTGGCCCCTGAAGGTCTTTTCTAGGGGCCAATTTTTTGGGAAAGGGGCCAATAAATTAAAAGCTACAGAAGGGAAAATGCATTAGGGTACCAAGGAAAATAAAGCAGTTTAATAGGATCTATGATAAAATTTAATAGTAAGTGCTTTTTGAAGTGTTTCTACCCAATAAAATTGCTAGTATGAAGGATCCGTGCATTACAAGAGAACAATCCTTAGGCATACATGATGTAGTCAGTGATCAAGAGTTTGCAGTGCATTATAGGGGGATTTCGAACACAGTCAGCATTTTGGAGGTTTTACGATGTGAGAGAATCAATACAGCGAAGCAAAAGGACGGATTGACTTCTTTTCATATGTTGAATGTTTTAGAAGCAAAGATCTTTCAATATGATTTTCTAGAAGGACATAATGTGTGACAAAATAACCGTCATTGATCGTCAACACAGAGAAATGTAGTCGCCATTATCCCGTATTATGGCGACTAAACCAGAATTTTTGGTCGCCTAGGATGAAATGTTAGTTGCATTGGCAACCATATTAATCACAATTTCGGTCCTGGGATGGCTTTTAAAATATTATGCCTGTGTTAAGCCTGCAGTCTTGTAAAAGGAAAGGGCCAAATTGGCCCTTCGTTTTTCTGGGGGCCATCTCTGATTGCAACGTGGGATTCCCGCAATGGTGCGCTCTGGCGGAAACACTGTACATGTACAATGTACCAATAAGACTACTCGGGTGATCTCAAACCATAGTAAAACCAAAGCCAAAACCAAAGTAATTGTGTAATTACTTTCGACACTCAATTTAAATCAACTACTTTAATCTAAAGACATTTGTTTGGTGTGGTTTGCAGGTGCTGGCAAAACAGCAAGCTCTTCAGCAGCAACAGATGTCCGCACTGCAGACCGCTGCTCAGCGACAAAGAGCTCTAGCCTTGATGTGCAGGTATACGATCACCAATCATGTCTTCCTGAAAGTCTACAGCTTGAGTCACTGACTGAGGAATGGCTTTCTCAGACCATGGCAGTCTTTATTTCATTGTAGACTAAGCCACTTTGATAAAATGATTTGAAAGACTAACAGTATTTTTTCTATGATAAATGAGAAAATTGTCATTAGTTCATTGGGCGAGAGCTACAGCCGATGAGAGTAGAGCGAAAACCTGTAACATACAGTAACACAAGTTACAAGTAACTGCCAAAAAACATGAGAAATTGTTGACATCTTTTGTCGCAAACTGAAACTGTTGAGTTGTGAAGTGTTATTTAATTCTGAAGCATGTTTTCTGAGCAACTCATCAGCTTCAAACAGAGAAAGTGATCTCTGCCAGTAACTGTCATACACTCACACATTCACACTCATCAGATTTTTCCTCTAATTTGCCAGTGAAACTTAGCTGTTATTAATATAAACAAATCAACCTTTGTCATTCTTCCATGGTCTACACTTTTAATACCTTTCATGAAATGACATCAGAAAATGTCCAAAACTTTGCAGCGATTAACCACTGGCCCACAGTTGGCGCTTCCAAGTGACATTAAACATCTTTTTATAACGTTTCTGAGGTGTACAAGAGTGTTGAACATTGCAAAATGTGCTCATGTTGTCAAATATCCCATTCATAAATGTGAAAAATTAATATTAATAATGACGTATTTTGCTTTTGCAGGGTCTATGTTGGAAGTATCAACTTTGAGCTGCGTGAAGAACATGTTCGACAAGCGTTCATTCCTTTTGGTCCAATAAAAAAGATTGACTTGTCCTGGGATCCCCTCACTATGAAGCACAAGGTGGGTTCTTAATGATAATCAAACTCAAGGTTTTACATGTACACAGACTTTCAAATTTTGCAAACTTTGTCTCCCACCTATTTACATTGTAGAAATAAATCAGGCTATGTAAACAAGACAGAACCCCCTCTTTTATAAAATTTAGTCAGCAAAAATGCAGCAATAGAGCGTTTTCAGTCATGTGGCCAGCAGCCATGCAAATTTATTGTCGAGAAAAAAAGAAAGTGTTTACATTGTACATAAGGAAAGAGTTCAACTCCCCCAAGATTGATTTGGTACACCAACATAGCTGCTGTTTCATTGTTTTGGAACACCAATTTTCAGTCACCAGTGTCTCTTGGTAGATAGAAGTAAAGGGCTTCAGCTGATATTTTTCTTTACTCAGGGCTTTGCATTTGTGGAGTATGATTTACCTGAAGCAGCCCAACTTGCTTTGGAGCAAATGAATGGAGTTCTACTTGGCGGAAGGAACATTAAGGTGTGTCCCATAGTATTTTGAGAAAATACATTTAGGTTACATACCGGTAATTAACTTTCTTCCCTAAGTTTGGTCCAATTATGGCACTTACTGGTATGTAGACTAATGCTACATGTATGCAATGCTGTCCTGGCTTTAGGTGGGTCGTCCAAGTAATGTTCCACAAGCAGCGCCACTCATTGAGCAGTTTGAACAAGAAGCAAAGAAGTATGCAAGAATTTACGTTGCCTCAGTTCACCCGGACTTGGCTGAAGATGACATCAAAAGGTGATTATTAACTCGTCTCAACAGTCTGTTTGTTAATTCTCCAATGAGATATTGCTTAAAAGATCCCTATAACTGAACAAATCTTATGTCCATGTGATTTTTAAGCAGAATATTTGTCTACTGTCCATGTACAGTGAATTTTACTAGTTGGGCCATTTTCATGTTCCATGTTTTGACTGTAGGTTTTCTTTTTGGTAGCATTTTGTTGGAGGTAATTACTTGCTACTGCAGCCAGTAGCATGAAGATTTAAATCTAACTGAACATAGGAGTTTCATTAACGTTTTCTGCAAGTGGACAACTGGTTTTCTCTGGTGGGCAAAACTTTTCAAAACAAACTTCGCTATAAAAAAACTTTCCTCTACTGTAGATGGTCAAACCAGGTGGGCAAAATCATCATCACAGCTGGTGAATTTGCCTGGTGCCCGGCCCTTGTTAATAATTATTAATGAAACCCCTGCTGAACATACTGTGCTGTGTTCAATTTCTTTTGTGTTTGTATCTACTGTAAGAGAAGAAAAAATAAAAATCTCACTTTTTTATTTTAATTTCACTTCAGTGTGTTTGAAGCATTTGGTCGAGTGCAGAGCTGTACTCTTGCTCCAGACACAATGCCTGGCAAACACAAGGGATATGGCTTCTTGGAGTACGAAAATCAACAGTCCGCAACTGATGCCATTGCATCTATGAATCTTTTTGACTTGGGAGGACAGTACCTAAGAGTTGGTCGAGCCATCACACCGCCAGCATCTGCACAAGGCAGTAATGGCACACTACCTCCAGCAGCTGCAATGGCAGCTGCTGCGGTATCTGCAAAAATACAAGCTCAGGAGCAAGGGTTGGCAAGTACATGTAAGGAAAAACTATAGTCTTAAGTACTGTTATAAAACCTTTTATTTCTTGGAGGGCCAACCACTACATAGCTGTGTTCTTTGAGAGATGTCCACCATAAGGAAGTGTTTTCCACAGCTGTCTAACTTCAAGAAGTGTCCACTCTTAAACAGAGGCGTCCTCCTGTCTGTGATATACTGACATGTCTTCTTGTAGAATGTGTCCATTTTTCCATGCCCACTTTGAGAGGGTTCCACCATATAAATGTAGTCTTTATTGTGACAAGTGCTCTTTGTTTTTCTTTTTTCAGTTCCAGCTATCACAATCGCCGGTAGTACAGTAATCACTTCCATTGTGGGTACAGCAGGCTTGGTTGCTTTGCCAACTATGGCAGCTGGCACTTTGGCCCCAGGAACCCTGGCACCAGGAGTGATGTCGACAAGTATTGCCGCTCAACCAATCATGACAGCTTCTACAGCACTGTTGGCAGGTAAGGTGTTCCTGGTTGTTGTTCAGTACATAAAGGTGTTTGCCGTCATGCTCACTCATGTTGTCATGCATTTGTTTTGCATGCTGGGCTGCTAAACGGTGCAGAAATCAAATTTTACTCTTCATTTGTAGGACCACCAACAGCAGTAGTGACACCAGTTGCTGCCACTCCAGTGGTCACGACAACAGGTCTTCCAGTCCAACCAGCAGCTGTCCAGCAGTTACAGCTTCAACAGCAACAACTTCAACAGCAGCAGTTACAGCAACAGCAGCTTGTACAGCAACAACAGCTACAACAGCAGCAACTGCAGCAACAGCAGTCGGCCCAGGTAATCGCTCAGCAGCAAGCTGAGGTGCGTGCTAAGATCGAGGAAGAAACGCAAAGGAAGGTGGCAGAAAGTAGCATAAGCCACGAGGAGAACATGTCAATTTCAGGAAGTAACGCAAGATACATGGTCATGCAGAAACTGTCACGCAAAAGTGAGGTGAGTACAGCAGTTGCATTCAATTACTCTGTACTGCTTGTAGGCTATTTAGGCATTACATAATCCATATTTTGCATGGAAGGTTCATGCTTGGATACTCAACATGTTTTTTGTCTTCAGTCCAAAGTGCTTGTTCTGCGCAACATGGTTGGAGTTGAAGATTTGGATGAAGACTTAGAACATGAAGTAACAGACGAGTGTAGCAAGTTTGGCGTGGTCAATAGAGTTGTGATCTATAATGAGAAGCAAGGTGAAGAAGAGGATGCTGAGGTCATAGTCAAAATCTTTGTGGAGTTCACACAAACGTCAGGTAACTATTAAGTACTTCAAATCTCTATGTACAACTTACAGCCTAATGGTGATGAATGTGCAGAAAGTAGCACACTCATGTCACCACAACACACAAGCCAGCACATGAAGTGGAAATGCCATGTTTTGGGAGTCTACCCAAAACGTTTGAAATTTGAGAAGTTTAAAATCTTGCTGCAAGAAGCTGAATATAGCCACAAGCCACAAGATGCGCAATACCTACCAAAAATGTAGTCTGGTTTTCAGTCTGGGTACTGGCCATTACTTGTTGGTGAACTTAAATGTTTGAGTGAAACTTTCCTCACCAAGAGTTTATTAGCAGCAACTGTACAATTATTACTGCAATTATTACTATTACAATGTATGTACATGTACAATAACCATACATTATTTTAATTTATGGTGTCATTCACATCTTCTCTTCAATCTTGTTTTGGCCTCTACTAGTACATGTACTGCATTTTCATTGGCTGTGGAAAATGAAAGCCACTGACTGTGAAAATAACGTGCACAACATCTCCACAGTTTGAAATCAGTCATTTAGGATTAATGTTATTTAGGATTAGTATTTCAATCTGTTTCTTGTCTCTACAGAAACTGAGAATGCAGCCAATGCCCTCAATGGGAGATGGTTTGGAGGCCGTGTAATTAAAGCTGAGGGATATGATGAACTCAAATTTGGTGCAGGAGATCTGTCTGGATAGTACTTGTCTTTGTGCCCTGCAACCCTGTTAAAAGACTATCAGTGATCTCAAAACATACAGGCATTGCAGTTGTTGTAGAAAGGCAAAGTCTACCGCTGCCTTTACTGTGGTACCTGCAATAAGCAACATGACTTGTTTGTTGGCATGTGTTGTTTCTCAATTCTTCTCAAAGGTTCCTCCAACCTAACCAATAATTGGAGTTTATATTGGTTTAGACAGTACACAGGTTACAGTAAGGAAGTAAGAGTACAGTATCTAAAAATAAGTTACATTAGAATCACTGACCAACACTAACATATCTATAATACATGTAATTATATACAGTATATTACTGAAAGAAGACATTTGCTGATTGTTAAGACAAGTGCCATTGTACATAATTTTCATAAACTCAGATTTCAGAAGCCTTTTGATTGGGGCACTTGTTTGCTACATCATCTTCAAGCAGCAGTAGTTTGTTGTCCATTAATTTTGTGTCAATACTTCAGTCCTCCAGTTTACTCCTACTTTAAGAACCCAACTAAATTGTAAGGATTTCTTTAGGTTTACAAACCAGTACTATTTTGCCGTGAGTGCAGTTCTCTGACTCATGTTGAACTCGGGTTTAGCAGCTTAGTTTATAAACTGGAATCTTTGAACTTGATAGTTTGTTACTCAAGAAAGTGTGTTGGCCACAATTTCAATAGACAAATGTAGGTTTGAGGCAGTTAAGGCATAGATAAACAAAAAAACATTCTGATACACAATGACTCTGTATATTATAATTTTACTTGGTAATAAAAGAAGCAGCTATAGTGATGATTACTGTTGAATGCTTATGTTTTTCATAGGTGAACTTTTAATGGATTTTTTCCACTTTTCACCATATATTATTTTGTAGTAACAGGCCCTTTGCACGATCCGGTCACATGGTAGGGAATTAATTATGCTGGGATGCAAGTTACACAGTGGGACTTTCAAAACAAAGGAAAGTTGGGCTGGACTGGTATGAGTTCCTTTGTCTTTGGAAATGCAACGGTGTAACTTGCGTCCCAGCATAATCAATTCCGTACCATGTGACCAGATCATGCAAAGGGCCTAAGGCAGTCTTGATGACCCAGCTACTAAAGTAAACTGGGAAACACCAACACCACTAAAGTTTGGTGATTAAGTCTCCCAGGACATAGTTGTGTGATATTTGTCTAGTTTACATTGTCTTGCCCTGAGGAACTGCCCCTGGGTGTTCAAGGATTGATGTGAAGAAGATTGGTGGGTTTAAAATAGAAGGGGACAATGAAGATGTATTGAATATAAAATGGGAAAATAAAAAGTCCATAAGTTTTCTGTGGATGAAGTGTCACGACAAAATGTCAGGTATTTCCCAGCTAGGGAATTAAAAAATATTATTTGATGACATACATGTGCAGTACTGGGGAATAAAAATAGGACAAGCTGAAAAAATTGTAAATTTTGGGTAGGGTAGTCTAAGTCAATGGATTAGCATCCCACTTGGAGAAGTAGTTATTATCAGTTGCTTTATGGCATGGAGTACATGGAAACTGAAGTGCTGGCAGTTGGTTTGAAGGCAGATATTGAACAGTCTAAAGCTGTCTTTTTATTGGCAAGCTTTTAATATAACCCTTGCATAAATCAGCCAAATGAAACAAAAGTCACTGCTGGTGTAAAATTAATCTTAAAAACAAGGTCTTATTATGTTTAGCTGTTACTTTTTTGCTTGTTCCTTTCCAGAATCTCATGAACTTCAAAACTAATGGTCCTGCTGATAATTGGGTTGAAACTATCCATAACCACTTGACTTGTTCATTTATTTCAAATTAAGATGATCTTGCAGCATGCTTTCAATCATGGCCAATGTTAGCTGTTTTCAACCGGTCAAGGAACTTTCAAGCTCTCCCTCTTGATCAAGTTCCTATAAAGACAACCAATAGTAACAATGATTAGATCAGAGCTGGTGCTTAAAATGGTGGCCTCGTAGCTCAGTTGGTTAGAGGCACAGTAAAATGATCTGGACAGGAGTCATTCAACAGAGAAGTGTATGATCAGCATTTAAGTTTGTTATTTTTGCTTGCAACTGGAAATGTTCAACAATCAATTGAAACATTTTGTAACAACCCCACTTGACAGTAAAGTGAAAGACGCTTTTTCAGCCGCTAATAGCTATTTCACCCACTGTTATGATATCCAAACCACCAATGAGCTCTCCCTTCACATAAACTTGTGGATAAGTTGGCCAGTTAGAGTATGTCTTGAGACCTTGGCGAACCTAATGAAAATAGAATTATAATTATAGATTGACATATAATAATAAACATGTATTCTGGTCAGATACACTGACAACCAACCTCCGTCAGTTCCTGATTATATGATAACTGCAGAAATTCTTGCATGCTCATTGGCTAATTTTCATTGTCAATAAGTGGACAGATGCATGAATTAATACCTGTATAATGCGTCAACGAGCGAGAGCAGACAATTTGACAATTTGTTATTGTAGAAAAACAAATTGACGTCAGCTTTTCATACGTTTGCCCGTTTATTGAAAAGGAATTTCATCAGAACATTGTCAAAGTAGTCTGCAGATCCACTCGGCTATCGCCTCGGCGATCCACAGCTACTTTCACAATGTTATGATGAAATTCATGATCAATAACAGGACAGACACATGAAAAACAGATGGCAATTTGTTAACTTACAGGCTACATATGCATCATTTCTGTGCGCCAGTAACAATCAGTATTAATATTGATTGCAGAAGGTACAAGTATAAAATGCTATCATAGAGCAACACATGCAGTATCCTTTTGTACAAATTTCTAATTGCAAAAAGATAATAAAAGAAAAGGAAATGATATTCAACTTCAGCTTTATTGTTCTTTGGAAACTGGTAAGAAATTTCCTTGCATGTTTAATCACAAAATAGTAAACAAAAAATAATGTGCAGAGAAAAAATTTTTTGCCATAGAGTGTAAAAGTTTTGAACATTGTACTTCTTGCTTAGTTACAACAGAAAAAGACCAACCTCTTGATCTTCCAAAATATCAAAAGACTTGAACTGGATGCTAAAAGGAAAAGGAGTGAATATCACAATATCACACGCATCTCTACTATATGCTTAAACCATTAAAATCATTCTATAAATAACATAATTAGCTATTTAATAAATAATAAATTATTAAGCAGACTTTTTCTATGTTTGTAAGCATAGCCTCATCTAAACATGAGGAGGGTTGCAGAATTTATTGGCTCTTTACCCACCTGGGATATTTTTTCAGGATCTCACACATCTTTTTACTGAAGCCACATCTAGGAGCCTACAGAATAAATCAATGAAAATTTCATTTTTGTATTATTTTTGTCATGGAAAACTAATATGTCACACAACCAGTCTATTTCATTCAAAGCTCCCTAGACAAAAGTGTTTTTTTTTTTTTTTTTTNAGTGAACAGCAAGTTGGGAGTATTGCTAAAGAGCACTTGTCTCATGATAGAACAATCATAGCCATTCCAGCTAGCAGTCAACTTTATACTGTCCATTAATTTTTTTTTTTTTTTTTTTCTGTTATTGTTGGGTGGGGGATGGGGGAGGGCAGGGGGTTAGACAACAAACACTAGGCTACATGTCCAGATAATAGCACATGGTTTGAAGGTACTATAGTTGACTAATGGATAGTCTATTGTAGTTTTATAAAATCTAAAGACTGCTCTAACCAGTCAGTCTTGATAAACTGCACAAAGTTAGATGAAAACAGTAAGTTCTCAAAAAACTCACATCTGGGTTTCCTTTCATGAATACCATCACTGGGGCAGATGAGATCAGTGACTGTAGCCTTAAAAATATAAAAACAATTATAATATAGTATTGATGACACTATTCATCAAATTACAATGCTTAGTATACACTGTAATGATGTCTATAATCTTATGAAACAAAAACCAAACTTTAAACTACATTATTACAAGTTCACTTTTACACAGCACATCCTCAGGAAAACTAACTAAAGACAACCAAAACTTAACATACTTGTAAATACCAGGCGGCATTATCGAGAGTTCTGTTAACTGAGTGAAGCTGGATAATAACATCCAACTACCTTCGTTATTATTTAAAACATGCGAGTACAGTAAACAGTAACTCTAGAAAACTCAAGGGGAAATAAAATCTGGAAGGAAGCTAACCTATACTCATCCTTCTTTGTTTATCCTGGTCTACTGAACCCTGCCCCTATTTTCTATAACTCACTTCTGAGTTATCTGTCTTGAGCAGGTTTCATTTTCTTCATCTGCATTATAATTTAGCATTGCTACTTGCACTAATACCTGGCAGAGGTCATTACCTTTTATTAAGATCATCATTTGTTGGTAATGTTGAAGTCAGTTCTCCACTTGCTGCAAGTTCCTGAAATGATAAAGAAAGACATAGTGTTCGGAAAAAACAACAATCGTGAACATGGTCATAGATGAATGTTACAGAATTACAGTGTAACACATGATTTTCTCACCTTTACAATGTCCAGCCCACCTATCAATTCACCACCAACATACAGTTGTGGGTACGTTGGCCAGTTAGAGTACACCTTCAGACCTGAAGGAAATCATAGAGCAAATTTCTATATAATTTCACCATCTACTCTGTTGTACACAATGAGTACCTTCGCAGTGTGCAGGTGTCAACAAATTGAAATGGTGGCCACTTCCTAGCATTTCAAAGTGTCTGTATTGGCTGTGAAGGGGATTTTACATTTTTATGCTGTGCCCTCATCAACTAATCATCATATACATACATGTATGTATTGATCACCCGATAGAAATCTCAAGTTCATAATCTAATTGTTAAATAGTGCTACACATGTATGTATATTGTAGCTCACCAGGGACAAAATTAAAATTACATGAATTTTAAGTTAGATCACCCTAACTAACATTTCACCAGTAATTATTTCTACAAAGTGGATCAATGGACCAATGTGTTGGTGAGAGTACATCATCTTTGGTGAGAATACAAATCACGTTCTTCTTAACGATGCCCAGTCCAGCTACAAATTCAAACGGGTTTTTCAAAACTACAAAGAGGAAAAAAAGAGCCAGGGCCCATATTCCCCCAATGCTGTCCCCAGCAAGCTTGGTTTTAAATAAGAGATTTATTACACCACTGAAACTACCCAAAAATCTTCAAGTTACAGTGATTGTGCGGGATCATTCTGAACAATGCCCCGTCTGTTACTTAATAGAGAATATTGGACCAGTAATGGAGCAATCTGATTGGTTGATTTTAGTTATTGGCCATCTGAACAAACTAATCCCCAGTATGGCTTGTACAAGCTAGGTTTGTAAACTAAGTAGTTTAGTATGTGGCACAAAACAAAACATATGCAGGTTATGACCCTTTCCATGGAAATGGTCTGTGTAGCAAAATCCTGACCAAGAAAGAGTCACTCAACCAATCAGAACATTCGGATCATGTTTTCTTGGCGGTAATAATTATTACTTAACCTTGTCTGACATCATTGTCTGTAAGAATATCAAAGTGACTGTATTTTGCTCCATGTTGATTTAACAACTCCACAATCTGTCGACTGAATCCTGAGAACAAAGCAGAACAGAGCAAATTAGAAAATCTAAAATTAACAGTTTTTAATCCAACAAATACAAATTATTAAATTCAACCGTCAATTTTCAAGCTGCAAAGTTCCACCCCATATTCTTTACATGTTAATTAAAATCTGAATATTATTTTTCCTCCAACAAAATTCCTTGTTCATATTTAACACTGACAATAGCTACAGTTTTTTTTTTTTTTTTGACAATAGTTACAGTTGTATTACCACATGTACATCATTGAATTTGTCCAAGATTCAACTTTAGAGGTGGTCCAACCGTTGTAAACCAAACAACACCTTTATTGAAAGAGTTGCACAAATAAGGCATTCAAAAACAGTTGAGCTGCAAAAATCAGTCTGAAAGGGTTTCTTTCTAGTGGCCTTGAACAAAGCTTTGCAGATTACAGGGCACTGTGTATGAAGATAGCAAGCAGAACACATAAATCATATTTCCAGTATTTATTAAACCAAATGCCAGCTTCCTGCATGCAAAGAATTTAAACTGAATTGTCACAGCTAATGACTCTAAGCACATTAAGCTGTTGCCTGAGAAGTGTACATTTGAAAGAAAAATGAATCAAAATTTTCATTTTAACGAAACACGATGTAATTTAAAAGTTCAACTTATTTTTAGAGACAAATTGCTTACCACAACGAGGCTCCTGAGGTGAACCTTTCATGAACAGAACACAAGGTGCTCCATTTATGATATTTTTTAATCTTGTATTTATGTCCTGCAAAATGAAACAAGAATTAACTACGTCTGTACCAAACTAATGATCAACTACTCCACTAAAACTATGCAGTCTCATCTCTTGCCAGTTGGGATTCCTCACTGTGTTAAACTCACTGGCAAATGAGGTGCCCAATATTTGTTACAGAAATACAGAAATAAGCACACGATTACATTTAAATTAGGTATACATAACATACACAGTGTTTTTTACGAACATAGGGAAACTTATATTTGAAGGAATTCAAAGTACTGATCACGATAAACATTACAGAAATATTTTATTTACCATTCAACCTTGGGTTGATTATCTTAATCAAGAATATACACATCCATTTTAGCATAATGTTCACCAATACATGTACACTAAAATATTACTAAAACCAGTACAAACCTGTTTTGTGTCTTGTTCTTTAGTTGCGGTAATTGTGGGTGTGATGACATTTGCATGCAGTTGCACTTTTTTGGTCAAGCTGGGAGCATTTGCTCCATCCAACCGATCCACAACCTTCTGGTTCTAAAGACACATAGGATTTAAGAATCCAAAGCTTCAAAAATTGGGAAACAAAACAAAAAAAAATTATCTGATTTCTTCAAGTTTGGCTGAACAGGGAGATACATCAAGGGTTATCACAAAGTTTAGAAGTAGATGGCCCACATTTAAACCTGGTACTTTCTATTAAAATAAAACACCAGAATTCAACAAGATCACAGTGACTTTTTACCTAATCCGTATTTTCAGTTTTTGGTCACAACAAAGGTGAACAGCCCTTGCTTTGTAGTAACCAACATAACCAGGAAATCAGGCAACTAATTAAAGTTCATCTGCCTGATTTATACCAGAACACTGCAGAATGGAACACAATATTACTGGCACATCTGTTACCTACCTTGAAAAGGAGAAATGTTGGAACTGCACTGATTTCGTATTTATGGGATACTTCAGGAAAATTTTCAGCTTCAAGCTGCAAAAAGTGATTTACAGTGTGATTTAAAGAGAGTGATTTAAATAAGAAAACAAACTTTGTGATCAAATGATAAAACAATAATTATTAAACTTCGTTATCACAAAATATCACAATTTGTCAGTGTCTAGCTGATAATTATTTGTCTCAGCCTCGACTTCGGCAAATAATTGATCCGTTCACCACTGACGATATTTTGTGATAACCTAGTCCAATAATGGTTAATTATCACAACATACTGTACATGTACAACAAAGCTCTAGTACCTTATAAAATTTAACATGTGAGTTCTCTGTTGCCAGTTCTGTCATAACTTCATTCATCTGCCCACACTGTGGAGCCCATGGTGCATGGAAATGGACCACTGTGAGAAAGCTATTAAAAAAAATAAAACAATTGTGTTACTTGGGGTTGGTAATCAAGAATGATAATCAGGATTCATTCATAATTCATCTCTGCTGCCTTTGATGGTTCACTTTTCTTTAAAGTTAAATTCCTACAGTTGCTCACAACAACTACACTATGACTTCTGACTATAATCCAAAAATACACAATACTCCATACTAGTAACTCTATTCTGCCACTTAAGGTTACAGTATACCTTCGGGTTGACAATTTTCTTCAAATTTGGATTTTTGGGTCAAAATAGTGGTCGAAGAATAATCTCTAATTTCTGAAA